TTAGTACACTTCTCATATGACTATAGATTGCTTTGTTTACTTTGAAAACTTGTTTATTTCCTTTGACCATTTATCAATTGGGGAATGGCTCTTATTTATATAAATTTCACTCAATTCTCTATATATTTGAGAAATGAGGGCTTTATCAGAGAAACTTGTTGTAACTTTTTCTCACAGTTATGATTACTATTTCCCTTCATCCTTTTCCCACATTTATTGCACATTCTCTCTCCTTTCATGCTGTCCATCTTCAAAAGTGTTTTGCGTCTGACTTTTACCTCCCCAATCTTCCCTCCCTTCTATTAGCTCTCCTCTCTTCTCTTCTTCCCCTCCCCTATTATTTTCCTCTAAGGTAAGATAGATTTCTATACTTATCTGAATGTGTATACTACTCCCTCTTACAGCCAATTCCAAGGAAAGTGTTCCTACCCACCACCCCATTTTCCCCTCCACTGTAAAAGCTGTTTTATACTTCTTTTATGTGAGAAAATTCACCTCATTCTACTTCTCTCTTCCCCCTTCTCCCAGTGCATTCCTCTTTCTCACCCCTTAATTTTATTTTTATATCATCCCATCATATTCAATTCAGACCTATATCCTCTATGTATAGTCCTTCTAACCATCCTATTAATAAGAAAGTTCTCAGGACTTACAACTGCCATCTTCCCATGTAGGAATGTAATGCTTTAAACTTAGTTAACTCCTTAAGATTTCTCTTTCATGTTTACCTTTTTATGCTTCACTTGAGTCTTGTACTTGAAAGTCAAATTTTCTACTCATGCCTAGTCTTTTCATCAAGAATGCTTGAAAGTCTTCTATTTCATTGGATGTCCAATTTTTCTCCTGAAGGATTATACTAAAATTTATTGTGTAAGTGATTCTTGTTGTAATCTTAGCTCCTTTGTCCTCTGTAACATCATATTCCAAGCCCTCCAATCCTTTAAGGTAGAAGCTGGTAAATCTTGTGTTATCCTGACTGTGGCTCCAAATTTGAATTGTTTCTTTTTTGGCTACTTGCAATATTTTTCCTTGACCTAGGAACTCTGGAATTTGGTTATAATATTCCTGAGAGTTTTTGTTTTAGGAGGTGATCAGTGAATTCTTTCAATTTCTATTTTACCCTCTGGTTCTAGAATATCAGACTAGTTTTTGTTGATAAATTTTTGAAAGATAATGTCTAGGCCCTGTTTTTAATCAAGGATGTCAGGTAGTCTAATAATTCTTACATCATCTCTCCCCAATCTATTTTCCAGGTCAGTTGTTTTTCCAATGAGATATTTCACATTTTTTCATTGTTTGTATTTTGTTTCATTGCTTCTTGATATCTCATGGAGTCATTAGCTTCCACTTGCCCAATGCTAACTTTTAAGGAATTATCTTCCTCACTATGCCCAAAGTGCTATAAAAATGAGCATACCCTTTGACCCAGCAATAGCACTTCTAGGGCTGTATCCCAAAGAGATCATACAAATGGGAAAAGGACCCACATGTGCAAAAATATTTATAGCAGTCTTTTTGTGGTGGCAAAGAATTGGAAATTGAGAGTATACTCATCAATTGGGGAATGGCTGAACAAGTTGGGTATATGAATGTAATGGAATACTATTGTGCTATAAGAAATGATAAGCGGGTGGACTTCAGAAAAACCTGGAAAGACTTGCATGGACCAATGCTGAGTGAAGTGAGCAGAACCAGGAGAACATTGTTCACAGTAACAGTCACGTTGTGTGATGACTAACGTTGATAGACTTAGCCCTTCTCAGCAATGCAATGATCTAAGACATTGCCAAAGGTCTCATGATGGAAAATGCTATCCACATCCAAAGAAAGAACTATGGAGTTTGAATGCAGATCAAAGCATACTATTTGCTATTTTTTTCTTCTGTTTTGTTTTCTCTTTCTTGTGGTTCCTCCTATTGGTTCTAATTCTTCCTTACAACATCACTAACATGAAAATATGTTTAATAGGAATGTATATGTATAGCCTATATCAGATTATGCACCATTTTGGGGTGGGAGGTGGGAAGGGAAGGGGAGAAAAATTTAAAACTCAAAAACTTATGGAAGTGATCATTGATAAATCAAAATAAAATTAATAAAATAATAAAAATCTTTATCCTCCTCATTGAGCTTTTGTACCTCCTTTTCCATTTGGCCAATTCTACTTTTTAAGGAGTTCTTTTCTTCAGTGAATTTTTGCACCTCTTTTTTGATTTGGCCAATTCTGCTTTTTAAGGCATTCTTCTCCTTGTTGGCTTTTTGGACCTCTTTTACCATTTGATCTAATCTATTTTTTAAGGTGTTATTTTCTTCAGTATTTTTTCAATCTCCTTTACCAAGCTGTTGATTCTTTTTTTCATTATTTTCTTGCATCACTCTCATTTCTTTTCCTAATTTTTCCTCAACCTCTCTTATTCAATTTTTAAAATCCTGTTCGAGCTCTTCCAAGAATATTTTTGGGCTTCAGACTAATTCACATTTTATTCTTAGGCTTTTGATTTAGCAGTTTTGACTTTGTTGTCCTTTTCTGAGTTTGTTTTGATCTTCCCTATCACTATAGTAACTTTCTTTTTTTTTTCCCTATAGAAGCAATTGGAGGTAAGTGACTTGCCCAAGGTCAGAAAGGTAGTAAGTGGGTGAAGCTGAATCTGAACTAAGGCCCTTCTGACTCCAAAGATAGTGATCTATTCACTACACCACCTAACTCCCCCCACCATAGTAACTTTCTTTGATTAGGATCTTTTTTGTTGTTTGCTCATTTTTCCAGGCTATTTCCTGACTTTTAACTTCATATTGAAGTTAGACTCTGTTTCTAGGTTGGAGTGAGTACTATCCCAAGCTTCAGGTTTTGTGTGCTGCTATTTTCAGACCTAATTTTGAGGGTCTGTATGCTTTTAGTTCTTCCAAAGTGGTCTAATCTAAGGAGCAGTGTGTTTACTATTCTCCAGGCCTGTGCTCTGGTTTTTGGGTTACTACAAGCACTCTTTTCTGCCTTGGAACTGTGATCAGGGTCCCAGCTCTTCTGTGGCCATAAGCTCTGGTAGCTAGTGCCCCTCTTCTTACTGGGACTGCAATTCAAGAATACTGTGACCCAGATGTAAGTATGGGCAATACAACAGAGTTTTACACCAGCAAAGGGACCCCGGATTCTCCTTCTGACTAGTTGTCTGACCCTCTTACAGTCTTGGACTGAGAGCTCTGGAAGCAGTCACTGCCACCTCTGATTTAGTTGTCCCACAAGGCCTGCGGCTAGTTTCCTGTGCCTGTGCCTGTGCTGGTTCAGCCTGCACTGAACTGTGTCATACTCTTACCTCAGTGGGATACACCTTTCCTGCCTGCCTTCTAAGTTGTGTTGGGCTGGGAAATTGTTTCACCTCATCCTTCTGTGGTTTTTGCTGTTCTAGAATTTATTTTGAGGTGTTGTTTAGAGTTGTTTGGATGGGAATTTGGGAGAGCTTAGGTAAGTCCCTGCCTTTTCTCTGTCATCTGGGCTCTACCATACTATGACCAGCTCTTTAAATTTATTTTTCCTTTTCCTATTCATGCAGATCATCCCATAATTTCTTCAGGAGAAGGTTGCCTGGAAGTAGCATTCAATCAAATAATCAGTCAATCAATAAGTATTCATTAAAACACCTACTATATTCCAGGCACTCTGTTAGGCATTGGAGATATAAGCACAAATTCACACAGAACTTACATTCTAAACACGGGGAGAAAACAAGAATATGTATAAATATACACAAGTACACAGTAATTTAAGAGGGAGGGTACTTGTAGTTGACAGGATCAGAAAAGGATTCATGTGGAAGATAATATTTGTTCTGGCTCTTGAGGAAGACAGTGATTACACGAGGCAGAAATGAGACAGGAATGGATTTTAGGTATTGTGGACAGTCAGAGCAAAGTCACAGAGACAGGAATTAAAATGTTATGTGTGAGGGAAGCCAGTTAGTTCAGATTAGACAGCATAGGAGGAGAAACAATGTACAATAAGCTGGAAAGATAAATTGGCATCAGGTTGTCAAGGGTTTTAAAAGCTAAACCAAGGAGCTTATATTTGATTCTAGAGGTAATAAGGAGCCTCTGGAGTTGATTGAAGAGGAGAGCACCATGGTTAGAGCTATGCTTAGGGAAAATCACTTTAGCAGCAGCATGGAGTTGAGACTGAAATGGGGAAAGACCTGAAGCAAAGAGATAAGTTAAGAGACAATTGTACTAGTCTAGACAGGAAATGTTGAACTAAGGTAGGAGCTATGTGAGTAGAGATAAGGGGCTTCCTGACTCCCAGTGAAACCCAGTGCTCTATCCACTGCTCCACTCAGCTTTCCCAGCCTGGGAAGCAGTAAAGGGAAAAAGACATATATACTCTTAAATCCCTTCAACTTAGTATTCTATGATTTTTCCTTCCAAAGCCAGTCTTTTGGGTAGAGTGACCATACTGCTATGATTTTTTAAAAGTCTCCCTCTTGCCCAAGAATATCTCTTCTTCTCTGCCTGAAACTTTACCAGAAATTCACTTGTGTAAGCAACTAACATTTAAACCAGCTTGGGAAAAAGTCAATGTGGCTTCAGGTACGGATTACTTTGATCATATTGTTCACCTCTAAAACCTAGCTGGGATGCATTGAGGAGTTCCATTGATATGGGATAAAGTGAAGGTGGTAAAGGGAAAGATTATGGAATATAGATTAGGCTGGGATAAACTATTGCAATGAGGTGAAGAAAGGAGCTTTGTTTTGGAGGAGTACTTACAGTCAGAAGTCTAGGAACACAGACTAGGGATTAGAAGGGATTGGAGAGAGTATGTTATACTGTACAGCTATACTTTGGTATTGTTTTAAAAGACTTTTGGAAGGATTTTTTCATAGTGGAGTTTAACTTATAATGTGGTACTATGACATAAATTCCAAGAGTGCCATTATACCAAGATTTCAGGAGCTCCGCCAATAAGAATAAGAAGAAGAAGAAAAAGAACACCAACAATGAAATAATTTTACCTTGTATGTCTGAAGTAACACATCTGTCCAGACACGTTTACTCATAGCTTCAAACTTAGAGTCCTCTATGATCAAAGTATGCTTTGTAGGCATTTGGGTTTTCTCAGATTCCCCTTTACTGGCAGCCTTTAAAAAATAAAATGTATAAAATAAGTTTTAAAGTGTTTTCATCACCAGGTAGACTGTGATAGCTACCTATTCAATTTCAAAGTGTATAGACGGAGATGGAAGGTCATCTATTCCAATACCTTATTTTACATATTGGGAAACTGATGACTCTGATCCTCAGGAGTTTGCAAGACTTGCCCAAGGTCATATAGCTCTTAAGTGGAATACCTGATAGCACCTACCTTAGCAGTCTGTTGTGAGAATAGGAAGACTGTCATGTAAGAGGTGGTGCTTAAGCTGAGCTTTGAAGGAAACTAGAGATACTAAGAAGCAGAGAGGTAAGGAAGGAGTGAATTGTAAGCCTTGGGGACAGTCTAGGGAGATGTTAATGGAGTGTCATGAACAGAAACAGCGTGTAGATTGTTTGACTGGGACAGAGAAGTAGATTGCGTAAAGGGGAGTAAGGTGTGATGAGTCTACAAAGGGAGGCCTGAGCTAGAATGGGAAGGACTTAGAAATACCATTTTGACTTGCATAATACCACTTTTTTTTCAAGCATTTGATCCCTAAAACTTTATGTTATTATAAGTGGACCAACATTTTATAGTTAGTTTTATAAACCAAATCAGCAAGAGAATAAAGTTATTCCTCTCTGACCTGAAGTGTGTGTGTGTGTGTATAAAAACATAGAAGGGTCCTGACTCAAACCACAATTTAATCTCTGCATAGGAACAGTATATAAAATATTTAAGTTAAAAGCAGAGAGAAGAATGGTTGCAAGTATATAAAGGCCCATAATACAACATTACTTTCAGGGACAGAATGCCATTGTCAATTCCCTTTCACAATAAATGACAAGAGAATATTCTAATAATTTTTAAAAGATTAGTAACAAGTTGATTAAAAATCTTTTTACAAATGCATAGCAACTATAAAGCCACTATTCTGTAAACTTTTCTCAAGCACCATTTCTCCCCTTACTTTCATTGTAATCCATCTCTTGTAATCTTCTGGTTCAAGTAGAAATTCAGGAAGTATATAAGGAAGGCATGCTCCTTGAGTTCTTTAAAAAAAAAATTAAACTTAGTATACGGGTAAGAACACGACTTTTTAATTAAAATAAGTAATATTAGAATATTTAACATTTAAATTGATTTACTGGGCTAGAAGTACACAAAATATAAATTTTAATAAAATTTAATTCTAAAACAGAAAAAAATCCATCTCCAAGTAGAAACTTTACATAACTTTTTTAATTTAAATAATTTTTATTAATCAATCCATAAGTATCTATTAAGGTGGTATAGTATGAAAGATAAAGCAGTGGTTTTGGAATCAGGAGAATCTGAGTTCAAATCATACTGCATGAGTTGTGTGGCTCTAGAGAAGGCACTTAATTTTTCTTAGCCATCTGTAAATGAGGATAACAAAATACATATAGTACTTACCGCACAGGCTTGTAGTATGGATCAAAATTTTTTTAAGTATCTAAAACAAGGATAGCTTTATAGGATAGTAAACCTTAAAGTGCTGTTTAAACAACAGTTTTGATTACTATCATCATTATTTCTTTTTACTTTTTTGATCATTTTTATTTCATTCAGAAATATGATTTCTTCAGTTCCCTGTGAGGAAACAACTATTCTATAATTTTTAGTCTTAAAGTTTTGCCTGGGACACTGAGAGGTTGAGTGATTTCCCCTGGGTCACACAATTGGTGTCTGTGTGAGAGGGGTGGGGCTTAAACCCAGATCTTCCTGACTCTGAGGCTAGGTTTTTTTTTAATCAGTTATGCCATTGTTATTATTCTCCTCTCACATCTAATATTTAATAAGCTAATTACCATAATTATTATCTCCTGGGAAATACTATGAAATATTGAACAATACTATGAAATCATATCAAAGATAAAATTGTAGACCCTAATATAAGGAGGTAAGTTTCATTTTGCTGAAATGGGATCCTTGACTGCAATATGGTTCTGGAAGGATATATATATTTTATTCAGCAGCAACAGAATAGATAAAGGTAAAGTAGTGTGATAGATTAAGTAGATACATTCATATCCAGAAACTAAGGAACTACAAGTATGGTTGAGAGAATTGGGGTGAAAATCAGTAGAGAAAAAACAGGAATATTGTTTCATTGGATATACTTCAATGCATCACCTGGACAAAAAGAGAAAGTAGTTGATGTACACAAGAAATAGACCATAAGCCTGTCATGGAAATATGATGAAGTAAATATGTAGGATTTCAATTATCCAAACACATGTAGGTAAGCCAGCCAAGCTAAAGCAATGGAGCACTCTAGAGGAGAGACAGGCAGCAACACGCACCAGGTAAGTCAAACCACCATCACCTACTTTGACCACTATCTCTCTTCAGATCCTGATGGAGACAGCCCTGGACCCTGAACCAAAACTTTGGGAACAATAATATCTCACAGGCCAAGGGACCTAATTCTAGCCCAGCCCCTGTAGCCATCATTAAGAGGAAAAACCATTATGGAGAAGAGATCTACCTTTCTCATCACCACCAGCAATAGCTACTAGCCAATTGCCACAGTGGGGAATAAGCAAAGGAGCCATGGGAGTGGTAGCATCCCCCTCCCAGACCACTGCTTCTGCTTCCAAGTCCACCCTCTCCATGCTTTGGACAATTTTCTAACAAATAATGTTGCAGAGAAGGTGCCAGCCTACATTGGTAGAGGAAGTTTCTTCATATAGGGAATTCATTATACTACTGAAATCACAGATACCATCTATATCACTATCCTCCCTTAAGAATAATTTTGTCACTCAAAAAGCAAAGAAGGTGACAAGGAAAACTATTATTCTGGACCTGATTCTCTTGATTACTGATGTGGACTTGAAGGGAAGCTTGGATTGATACGACCAACTGTGATAAAAGGGAAAAGACAATTCCAGAAAAGTCTAGATTTAGGGAAATAAGATTTGTAAGGGATCAGAGAAAGGATAAAGAGAATTCCATGATCTAAAATTATGCAAAGAGAATTAACTCAGGAATTAAAGGAAATTGAAGAATGAAATCTGATGACAAAATAATTTATCCTGATGAGGAAAAAAGGAGAATTGGATACACAAGGACAAAATTAGATTTAGAAAATGAAAGGAAGTTCAGGTAATGAAAGATGAATACATTTGGATGACAAAGTCCTGTATACATAGCATCAAAAAAGCTGAACATCAAAATAAGCTTTAGAGAAATGATAAGGACAATAAAGATTTTTTGGCTTTTTGTTTTAGTTTGGTTTGAGTTTTGTGGGAAATGTTTTGTGTGCTTTGTTTTGGACTGTACAAAGGAAAAGAAAATTCAGAAAAAGATGGAACCATAGTCAAGCTGGGTACAATCATGATAACTGGTGAAAGAAAGAAAGTTGATGATAGAGTTCACTTTTGTATTCTCTATCAAGAAGAATAATCTTTGGTCTGGAAAAGGAAATGAAAATGACTAAATGGGAATTGAAACACAAGATAATAGGGATATCACAACAAAAATCTACCTGCTCCAGTAAGGCTTATGAGGTTACCAGGTCCAGGCAAACTACAGAACATCCCAAGTTCTCAAGTTTTAGAAGAGAGCCTCAGAGGTCATTTACCTACCATCTGTCATATACATGAACAAGAATCCCTATAGAGTATCTCACCAAAAAAGTCATCCAAGCTTGGCTTAAAGACCTCCAGGAAAAAGAACTGGATACTTCATTCCACTCATCCCACTTTTGGGTATTTCAAAATGTTAGAATTTTTATTTCCTCTCTTGAAGTATAAACATGCCTCTCTGCAACTTCAACCTACTGCTACTTCTTTGACTCTGGTACCATGCAGAACACATGCATTCCCTCTTCCATTTAATACCCTTTATATACTTGAAAACAGATGATCAGGTAACCTTCTAAATATTTTCTTCTCCAAATAAAACTTATATAAGTCAAAGGATTATAGACCACAAGTGAAGTCAAGTCAACAAGCATTTATTAAATGCCTACTATGTGCCCAGCACTGTGCTAAGTGCTGGAATACAAAGAAAGACCAAAAAAAAAGTCTCTGTCCTCAAAAAGCTTACAGTCTAGTGGGGAGACAACATATAAATTACTATGAAAAAGCATTATATATACAAGAAAAAATTAAAGATAATCAACAGAGAGAACATCTCAGATTTAAGGATAATCAGTCAAGGCTTGTTGCAGAAGGTAGAATTTTAGTTAAGGACTGGAAGAAAGCCAGAGAAGCTGGGAGAGGAGGGAAGGAGCTCCAGTAATGGGGGACAACCAGAGAAGACACTTAGAGTCAGGAAATGTAATATCATGTGCAAGGAAGTCAGCAAGCCTGGATCACAAAGCAAATACAGGGGCCTAAGTGCAAGAAAACAGAAAAGGCAGGAAAAGGCCAGGTCATGAAGGGCTTCAAAAGTTAAACAGAGAATTTTCTACGTGATCCTAGAGATAATGGAGCCACTGGAATTTATTCAAAAGGCTTTGGGGAGATCAATTTAACAGTGGAACAAAGGAGAGATTGAGGTAGGGAAGTTAAATGAATGACTTAAAGTGGTCTGAGAGACCTCATTTTATAGATGAGGAAACTAAAGCCCAGAAAAGTTCAGGGTCTTGTCCAAGGTAATACAGGTGTCAAGAGTTAGATCTTCAGACTCCAAATCTAGGCTGTTTCCACTGGACCTCCATTGTTAGAATGTATCCTCATTTGACATAATTTTGCTGCCGTTCACCATCTTGCCCTCTTTTGGATGCCCTCTAACTTCTTAATGTCCTTCTTAAAATGTACTAATCAGAATTGAACACCATATTCCACATGTGATTTGACCAAAGTGAGAGCTGAGCCTTTGTTAGTGATCTTTAAAAGAACATGGCAAACAAAAGAGGCACCACAAAACTAAAGGAGGAAAAATGTTGTTCTGATTTTCCAAGGAGAAAATAGAATCAAGTCTGAAAATTTTAGTCCAGTCGGCCTGGCTTCAATTCATGGGAAAATTTGAAAATGTGTAATTAAAAGGGATAGTTAGAAGAAAGAAAGAAGTGATCATAGGCAGTGTGACTTCATCAAAGATAAATAATGCCAGACTGATTTGATTTCATTTTTGACTGGGTTACCAGGTATGTAGATCAAGGGAAGGTCAATTGTAAGTATAGTTCACCTAGATTCAAGGCAAGAATGTAACAAAGCCTCTAATATTATTTTTGTGGATAGGATGGAGAAATGTGGACTATGCCAAATGGATTCATGACTCATTGAATGGCCAGTCTCAAGTACCTTGATGTCAACTTGAAAGAAGATCTCTAGCGGAATGACCCAGTGATCTATGGCTGGCCCTGAATTTTATACATTTTTTATCAATTACTTGGATATGGAAACATAAAGAAAGGTAATACAAAAAGCTTGAGGATAACACTTTGAATTTAGTACTTCCAGTTTAAGGTTTTCTATAATCAATTTATCTATCATTTATTAAGTGCCTGCTATGTCCCAGGCACTAGATAATAGAGAAACAAATACAAAAAATGAAATACAGTCAAGAAGCTGACATTCCAGTGGGAGAGACAAAGTATATGTGCATGTGCATGTGTGTAAATATATATTTAGTATGTATATTGTATATATATGTATATGTACATCTATGTATACATACTCATGTATGCAGTTTAAAAGGTCCTTAGGACCATATTTGTGTATATATATGTAATATCTACACATGTGATATACATGTTATATATTCTGCATTATACATAAATATATATGTTGTGTGCATATATACATGTTGCTGTTCAGTTGTTTAGTCATATCTGACATTTAATAACCCTGTGGATCATAGCATGCCAATACTCTCCACGGGGTTTTCTTGGCAAAAATACTGGAGTAGTTTGCCATTTCCTTTTCCAGTGGATTAAGGCAAACAAAGATTAACTGACTTGTCCAGGATCACACACCTAGTAAGGGTCAGAAGCCAGATTTGAACTCAAGTCTCCCTGACTCCAGACCCCATGCCCTATCCATTGAGCCATCTATCTATCTCTGCATATGTACAT